CAGACTTCTTACTAAGTAACCATTACCAAAACAAATTGCTCTCTATTTACACTATCGTACTATTGTCTTCCTCTTTGTTGCCATATTTATCACAACGTTGTTGTACGCTTCGACCTTCTTCAGGTGGTTGGAATGTCGAACTGAACCCTTTATTTCGCTCGCTGGGGTAAACTGTTCTAGTTCTACGTGCCATGTCTAATGGATGTCAGTTATCTCTTAATTCGGCCCGGTGGCTAGGATCAAAGTGTAGTGTTGTGAGCTGCCGGGTCGGGTGTCTGTCGAACTCTCTGCTTGCAGAGAGGAACCCGGACGAAGCTCCGCCGAAGGGTAGGGTTTCGTTGGGGGAGATTGACGGAACTGGCCCGCCTCGGCGGGTTTGGATGGTTATTTATTTTTGGCTGGGCCTACGGGCTCAGAGATACCCACATTAAAAAAGCCTTGTGCCATATTTGGTCCCCGTGGGTGGATTGATAAATACCATCTCTTAATTCGCCTCTCCAAGTACTCCACTGCCTTAACCAGGTGTTGAACTCACAACTCTTTGGATCCTCTCAATGGATCTAACTAATGCCTTTATCCACTGTGCCATGTGTCCTTAAAGACATCTGCGTACAAAATAGTGTACATAATACCTCATCCCAGAAATAGAGACATATACAAAGTGCTCTTTTTATAATAAACAAATTTAAATTTACCTGCCTTTCCTGCCTGTCTGGGGTATTCACACATGAGTTGGAACTCAACCCTATCAGTCAAACAAAATAAAACTGACCTTCACGTTGTTCTCGCTGATGCATATGGATCAGTTTTTCATTAGTTAATTCGAACTGTCCTCGAAATTTTCAATATTCATAGTAAAGTTAGGGAAATATAATAAAATATTTCAGAGTAGCGTTTCTGCCGTTCACCAAGTGGCAAGCTTTCGAGGTCGGCATCATGATGGGGCGGGGGGTGATTTCACCACTTCTTTTCATTATGTCGATGGAACTCATATTACGTGGTGCAGCGTACAAAGCAAAAGGAGTGATGACTAATCCTTCCTCCTTCCAGAGCGTTCATGGATGACATTACCATTCTGGTCTTGTCTAAGGTCGGTGTCGATGGACTGTTGCATTGCTACAATAAGTTTTTCACGTGGTCGAGAATGAAGTCTTAGCCCAAGAAAAGCCGGTGTTTATCATTAAACAGAGGCTCTGCCAGGGAAATTCACTTACATTTGTAGTGACATGATCCCGACAGTCATAGAGAAGCCAGTGAAGAGCCTTGTACGGCTGTATGTAACTCCACTAACTGATCGGCACCGACGTAAAGAGGTACTGAATGAGGCACTAGATGGACTTGAATACGTCAACAGAACCCACCTCTCGGGTAAAATGAAAGCTTGGTGCTACAAACATGGCTTTGCTGCCCCATCTTCTGTGGCCGTTGCATGATATTATTGATTCGCATTCAGCGGACTCAGAGGTGTATCAGCAAGCATATGCGCAAGTGGCTTGGAGTTTCCCCTGTTTCTCTACGGTGGGACTTCTATGCCAATGCGAAAAGAATGCAACTTCATTGGTGAAGAAGTTCAAAGTCGGGAAGATAGGTGTTTATATAATAATGAGGGACTCGGCCTATAAGTTCGTCCGCAGGTTACGGCCAGATATCAAAACTGGCACCAAATGATCAGTAGTAAAAGCCACCCAAGAAGAAGAATCCAGTCTGCTAACTAAATTCATTATGGGGGTGACCCAGAACCAATCTGACCTGGGCAGCACAAGCAACCAGTTTTTCTTTAAACAGTGTCCAAAGAGTAAACGAGATATGGTGATTGATGAAATGATCGATGAAGAGCAGCGAACAGACACTTCTGTTTCTCAGTTCAAACAATGTGATTGAACGACATGGAATGATATTGATCCATTAAAACTATCATGGTTTAGCCTGATTGCAATAGTACCATTAGCAGTACCATTCCTCCTGCGATCTACCTATGGTCTCCTACCAAATGCGACCAAACTCAAGCTGTTGGGAACACTGACACCAGAGAATCTAAGATCCGTTTTCACAAGGAAGGTGAACTCCCTGTGCGAAAAAAAACAAATTACTTCCAACATGACGCTACTAAGTGGAGCCCGTGATTGGGGTGTGTTAATTGATCTTAGAACACCTCTGAAATTTCAGGTGCCTCTCATTGAGACAGACACACGCCCTGACATTGTAACGTGGTCTGTTTCAAAGAAGTGGGTCCTCCTAGCAGAATTAACGGTTCCATAGGAGGAGAACTGTGTGGAAAAAGGATGGACATGTCATGTGCTACCTACTGAGATCAGGTTCCGTGGATTCGTCGGACGGTCAATCGTTTCCTTCCTTTTTTGAAGGTGAGCTCAACAGGCATCGAATTGGTCAAGATCCAAAATAAATAATTTTAAATAAAACCATGCACGCTACATAATGCTACTTCCAAAGTAAAACACATTATGTTTATCACCCATTCTACGTCATTAATAACGGTCGCTATGAGAGCGTTGGGTATTTTAACACAATGTTCAATATTTCAGTTGTAAAAAGAAATCGTAAAAGAGTGACACGTATATAAAAAAAACAATACCCTGTC